CTATAGAGGCCAGGTTGAGGCCCCTTTAAAGATTTTGCTCATAACAGCTGTACATTCAAAATAAAAATTAGAAGTCAGAAAGTGAAAAGTTACCCACAATCCTCATAGTAATGTCAGCCACCTTGCACATCCCAATTTCAATTACTTGTTAGGAAGGTCAATGTCCTTTACAATATGTGCAGCTGGTTTTCATATTTAGTGTATTGTTTTGGGGAGCTCTGGAAGAATTCAACATGATCCTGTCATCTAGTTTTCAAACACGAGGCCTTCTCAACCTCCCTGCTTCATTCTCACACGCACTCTCACATGTATTTTGGCCAAGGAGACCTGGATAGGATTCGCTCCCTTAGGAGTTAGTCCAGACTATATTGGTGAAGTTCAGTTTTGAGAGACATTGTTAACCTGTCCCTCTTTCCCTCTGTGTCTGTGTAGCATCTTCGTCCCAGGTAGAGGGGACGTCATTTCCCTGTGCTCCCAGCATTTTTTGTTTTAATTCTTTGTTAATTTTTGAGCTCATGCATACAAAAGGAACTGTTCATAGACAAGTATAGCGTATGCAAGCAATGTGCTCAGTCAACATTGCTAATGTACTTCCATTGTAACTTGTAGGACCAGTCCTTAGGCTTCTCCTGAGCAGAGACTGACAATGGCATATATATTGTGTCTAATCCAGGGGTAGGCAACCTATGGCACGCGTGCCGAAGGCGGCACGTGAACTGATTTTCAGTGGCACTCACACTGCTCTGGTCCTGGCCACTAGTCCGGGGGGCTCTGCATTTTAATTTAATTTTAAATAAGCTTCTTAAACATTTTAAAAACCTTATTTACTTTACATACAACAATAGTTTAGTTATATATTATAGACTTATAGAAAGAGACCTTCTAAAAACGTTAAAATGCATTACTGGCACAGAAAACCTTAAATTAGAGTGAATAAATGAAGACTCGGCACACCACTTCTGAAAGGTTGCCGACCCCTGGTCTAATCAAAGGTCCTAAAGAGAGTTTTTGATTATTTGCCAGGAAGAAATGTGCATCTCCCCTTATTACACAACATCCATGCAAAACCAGAGAACTCATATAAGCATACAGTCTAAATCCCCACTACAACTCAGTCCAACAAAAGAGAAGTGCAAATATTCACCAAACAATGCGAAGATACACTCAGCCACTTGTCTCAACCCACATCACAGGAAGACAGCCTACAAAGAGAATAACTAAGAGACCAGGAGAGTCAATCCAGACATAAAACAAAACTGCAACAAGATTCTCTGGCACCACAGTATTGCCAGATGATTGCTGGGGGGGGGGGGACTAGACAAAGCACAAGCTGCAATCTACAAAGCTCTTGAGAAGAAAACCAACAGTCACATGGACAGTTTGCTATCCCAAGGCAGACCAAACATTGGGTCTATGCTGGCTTCTGTTGTCAGGGTTCCCAGAATCTCTCCCTCATTTGAGGCCTGAGAAGTGTCAGGAATACTCCAAAAGTGAGCATGACTGGGGTGGCAAGTGCTGATTCAGCACATTCCCATTGGCTTCCATGGAATCCTTGGTAGGAATTAAAGCAGTCTCCCTTCCCCACAGGCACAGTGGGACTCTACGGTGCAGGAAGGAGCCATTCCTGCACCAGTAGGGGGTAAATTTAGGCAAACTCTTCTACAAACGCTGACAATATCATTTTAAAAACACTCTATGCTTGGCTCTCCATGGCAGCCAAGGAAAACGCTGACAGGCTCCCGGATTCTTAGCCACCAAGCCTCAGCGTAAGCTAAAGCTGCTGCTTTAAAGGGACAACTTTCATTTATGCCACTTGTGGAAGGTCCCTCAGTGACATCATGCCAGTTGAGAGCCTTGCACAGCGGTGGTGGAGCTGGCGCAGGAGGTGGCATAGCTGCCTCTGCCAGTCTTACTCTGGCAAGAAATTCCCCTGCACAGGGAAAATTCATGAGGGGAGCTCTCTGGCTGGTTTAAGTACACTTTGCACTGCACAAGCAGAAACCAGCCCTCTTACACCCTCTGGCCAAAAGACTAAACTTTTGCTAGTAAACAATTCTGCTCTCAGATCTGCACTGATGTTCGTGGAAGTTCTGCACAAGTGTAGAGAGCAGAGTCGCAGAGCAAATCTGAGTGCAAAATGCTGCTACTGGATTTAGATGTGATCATGTGAAGTATCATGTTAGGAGTTATCAAGCTAGTCAGCTATTTGAAACCAAACACATTACCAGGGTGAATTCAACAGTGCTATCTGAGGCTCCAGTTGTAGTAGAGTTCTTGTTATTACTCCAGAGGTTATAGGCAGCTTCCTGAATAATTACTATCCACAGGCAACCTAATTCATCACAAGAGACATGACAGGATATAAACTCGGCTGCATTAATTCAAAACTGGTGTGGTTTAAGGATGTGACTGTTAACACAACCACTACACAGAAGGTGTGAATCAGTGGTGTATAAAGCACATTCCCTCGGTCCTACAGTGATTATTACTTTTGAAAAAATACATTCATATTGTCCAATATAATGGGAAAGAAGCAATATTTGGTGGTTTGAACAGAGGACTGGAAGTCAGATCTCTTGAGCTTTGCTCCTGGTTCAATCACAGATCTGTTATGTGACCCTGGGTCTGATCTTTTAAAAGTGCCTAATTCACAGACATGTTCTGAGGCTTAAGTCATTAATGTTTGTAGAATATTGTGGGATCCTTCATAATACCAATAAATAGATAGCATGTGATTGAGAGTTTTATTGCCAATGAAGTGATGGCACATAAACTGTGAATAGGAAAACACTTCTTGCTATCATGGCTTGAAATTGCTTTTCAGTCAAACATTTGCATCCCACCTATTTTATTACAAAGGAGTATGCACACCAAGGAAGGACTTGAAAAACTGAACTAGCAGGTAGAACTTTTCTTGGTACGTAAGAAGCCTTATTCAACAACTTCTCCAGCATTCAAACTTTCATGTTAAAAAATTAAGGTTCTAATCCATATGGTTGTGAAGATACCTTTTAAATGTAAGAAAATCCAGTGCTGTCTTCCTGAGGTTGCCGGCAAATGTCACAAGTTTCTCAGCAGCTGCTCCCAAACAATAGCTGAAGGAAATTAACTAGACTCTAGTCAGCTTCACAAGTGTCATTCAGAACCTTGTGAGCAGAAGTGGCACTGTCATGAATCAGGCCACATTTTCTTAGCTGCTGCTCATAGGTTTCCCATGAAGCTACAGAGGTGGCTACTGAAGATATTCACTCAGCAGTCAGGATGCTAAACAAGAGAAACAGACCCTTTCCCTTCCTAAGAGCTAGGAGGCACTGGAAGATGGTGAGGAAAAGAGAAAGAGAATTTACACCATTCCAACACAGTTTATCGTACATGTACTAGTTAGAGGATCATGTAAAAGACTGATACCAACACAGGGTCTAGGGATAGCACACTGGTATCAATCCCACCATCTTTCCCCTTTCTAAAATCTGCACTGAGGGCTAGAGTTTATGCAGTGGTGCTACAACCAGAACTGTCTGGTGGCCAGACCCCCTTTCATCTTCCATGTCAATCACTGGCTAGTAGGTATAGTCCCATGGAAGGTAACAGGGAAATTTTTCAAGCAGTGAACTAATGGGCAATTTATTGATCCAAGATACTACTCTATGTGAAGGTGTATACACCAGAAGAGTCAGTTGAAATAGTGTGGCCTGCCACTTTAATTGTGCTCAAAAATAGCTGGCTGTGCATGAGTTACCATACGTACAAAGGAGGTTGACCTTGGCTCATCTAATAAGCAACTAGTGCAAACATAAAAACACTCTGAAGTTAAGAGCTTGTTCTAACAATAGAAAGTAATCTGTAATTATTTTTACACCGTTTATCTTGTGATTTTGTTTCATATTAGTTATATTAGGGGAGAGCTGTGAAATTGTTCATTCAAGTATATGAATTTGACAAGAGGGATATTTTGGGGTGTTTTTTCTTAATTTTAGGTAATCTGTCCAACTAAGAATAGGGGGAGGGGTGAGAGTCTGGGAGAAACATTAAATATTTTAATTCATGGAAATGTCTTGTCACCAGATAATTTAGCTGCTTCCTGGTGTTCCAATAATTGCTATACCTAGAATTCTTATCAATGCTCTTAGACAACACAAAGTGAAACCCTTTAAAGATGCTAGCTCACTTTACTGTCTCACTGAAAGACAAAGCAAAAAGGGGTTAAAATGGCTTCTAATTCTGACCCAATTTGTGTTGGGTAAGTTTTCCTTAGTACTCCGGGTTTAGTTATTAAATCTGAACCTGGACTCATGCTAAAGGATAAATGGGGAAGGAGGGTGCACTTACAGAGTTGGTCAGTATTGATACATACAATATTATTCAGTTCACATATTTTTCCACAGCATTTACCAAAGGGCAGCATCTCCCCATCTTCTAACTGCACTTGGTGCTATTTGAACCAAAGCTGAAAGAGTGCTTCAGTACAAAACAATCACAAGTCTTCATGAGTAATATGCATACACCTTATTTGATGCCCATGATATCTTTCATGTATATAGCACTTTCATCCCAAGATACTTTGCCAACCACAGATATATACAGAGAGATAAAGATATGAATTGTGCATTGCCAAGAACTCAAGGATTAACAAGCACCCTTATTCCTAAAAAAGTGCCATAGGATCTTTGATTTCCTTTTCAGAGTAAAAATGTGAGCATGTGTGTTTTCGCCATTTCTTTTTTCTTCTCCTCCCTCGGAAGTTTTTGTCTGATAGAAGGCAAGAAAGGCCCAAGTCCACTGCAAAAGTTCCTGGAAAAACTGCAAAAAAAAAACCCTTTGGCATTACCACCAGTTATTTTAACCCAAACCTGCTTCCCTTAAATATGCTAACTGCCTGTGCTTTGAAGAACAACTAGCAGTAATAGTTCTGTGAAGATGTAATAAAAATGTGCAACTACAGACTGAAATCTAAATCAGGTTAAGCAAATCAAAAAGACTAATCAAAATGGATTACTTACAGTTCTGGTTACATGACTCATAAAGGTCTCAGAGTTATCAGGCTGTGAAGAATAAAAATAAATGATTAAAATCAATTTAATCTTTTCCAATACTTTTTAAAATACATGTTTAAAAAAGCTCCCCCCATACCTCTCCCACCCAACAAGCAAATGTCACTGAAACAGACACACAAATGGAAATTAATCTTACGTTGTGTGAGCTTCTGAGTTCTACTAACTACAGGGACTCTCTTATTCCAAAGTTCTGGCATACAGTTACTTCTACAATAAGAGAGGACTAACATGTTGGAGACAGAAAAACAATGTCAAGGAGTGAATTTTCATTGTGGTATGCGTGATTTAGCGGTGCAACTCCCATTTTACCCTTTCACGTTCTCATTCTTTGCTACCAGATGCAAAACACACGTATACGTGCGTACTAAGGAGGGAAGTTAGGTCTTTCCCTTTAGGTGTTCGTGGTACTAAATACCGCACACAGCTTTGAAAATGTAGAGATTCATGTCTATTTTAGTTTAGAAATAAACTCAATTAGCAACATTTTTTTTTAATAAAAATTAAAGCTAGCCTATTAATCAATATGGACAAAATTCTGCCTTGACTCACTGGGCTTGATTGACTACAGCATTATTCCAGACTTATGCCACTGTAATAATCAATAGAGTTACACTAGTCTGAAACAAGGGTAATGTAGTGGTGATTCAGGCTCAATGACTACAATGTGGTTGTAAAGGATTGCATTAAGGACAGAATTTGGCCTCTCAGGTGAGAAGATACACCAGTTTAACGATCTTGCAATATGAGGTTACAATAGGATGGCAGCAGAAACATTTTATTTTGCTAAATACACAGCAGAATTACTAGAGCCAAGCAGCCTTCACATGTTAGAGAGAGAAACTTACCAAATTTTAAACTAAACGAATTATGCCTATGTACAAAGAGCCCATCATGCATAAAACAGCAGTCAAGCTTTAAACCCCTAGAAAGATGGATATCCTGGGAAGAGGCTGGATTCTGGGTAAAATCTGCAAAGTCAATTTCAGACATCTGGCAGAGAAGAGCTCAAAGAAAAGGTGAGGGTAGATATTTTGCTTTTGTAATAAAAGAGTGTTATAATCATAGTTTATATTCATCTGTGCCTTCTATCCTAAGGGATCCAAAATCACTACACAAACTGTGAACCCGATTTGCAAACGCTATACAGAATAGGGATCACTTCACCCATCACTGAAATGCAGTCACATCTGGGGTAAAATATGGCAGCTATTAAATGGCACTCAGCAACACTACACAAGAGCTTAGAACAAGAAATGCAAAACAATACAATATCCAATTGCAAGTTCAGTTTTATCCTCTCCAATTAAAGTACAGACTAAAGGGACAGGGAATGAGGAGATGAAAGTAGACAGCACAACCCTTCTTCTCACTGTCATAGCACTTGCGGACACAGAGCCATGCACTAACTCAGTGTTGAGTAAAGAGAATTCAGTCTTGAGACACTTACTTAATCTGAAAAGAGCTCTCCAAGACAAAAGATGGTTCCATTGCTCAAGCACATCTCCACTGAAGACCAGTTCCTGATGCTGGGAAAACACTCAGCCCAGTTTAAAATGGCACAGGCACAGTAAGAAGAAAAAGAAAATGTGATTCCTTCTGTTGAATCACCTTGCTGACTGGGGTGAGTTTAACCTGCAGCTTCAAGGCTTTGAACAAGCTTGCAACTTGATCAATGTTAACTATAAAGACTTTGCAAAATGTAAACACACGAATACAATGTTTGCACAAGGCTGGAGTACCAGCCACTGCCCAAGAGAGATTAGAACTGCTCCAATATACTCGCATGACCAGGAACTTGTGCCACCCGACCAAGTCACAATAGAATCAGAATGGGAGAGAATTGCAAATCTGACTCCACGGATTGGCAAATGAGTGCAGCGTTGACCTGGAAGGTGCAGTTTTATTATTTTCTATTCTTTTTGTTGGGCAGTCACCGGAGATGAGAGTCTTCTCTCATTAGAGGCAGATTTTCTACCATCTTCAGGAAAGAGGAAATATAAACCTGCCGGAAGTTCAGATTTTATCTTAACTGCAAATGCAGTTTAATGTCTGAAGTACGTAAAATATACTTATTAGCAGTACCCACTTAATGTGCCTGCATAGAATTTGACAGCACATACATCCTGCACTAAGCCATAACCACTCTCACAGCTCGATAAAGATTAACAAAGAACACTTTGATACACTGGTAACAACAAGGATAACCAGAATCATTATGATTAAATAATTATCTGGATTAGTATTAAAAAATTAAATCCCTAACAGAGCAGTCATTGTACTGAAAATTCATGCGGAAATAATTCTCTGTATAAATGGCTAAAAGTCCCCTCTTCCCCCACTTTCAGCATAATGGTGGCTAATATGAATAGGAACTGATGCACAACAGCAGCAATAGAAGCTTTTTATATACAGGAGATAGGCGGGGCAGGGCAGCTGTAACAGCAAGGGTGTCTTTCCATTGGTTTTAAAATTCTATTTTCTTACAATTCTTCCTTAGAAACATGAAAATAAAATCAAGGTCTTCTCTCATAAACTAAGCATGCCCTAAAGTATGCTGTCTGCCTATGGTCCCCTACAGACTATATACTAGCTGAGAATGGTGCAGTAGCCCTCTGGCCACACCTCCGTCTCTCCAGAACACCCCTTGCATGATCTCTGTGTTGGATCCTCCAGGAGCAGGTGGAGCCAGCTATGCCAGCTACCAAACTCTGGAGGAATCCCCAGCTGGGGAGTTCTCTGGGTTGTTTACAGCATCTTTGTGCTCCCAGCTCAGTTCCAAGGGGTCAGACCATGGCATGGAATCTGTTCCTTTAGATAAAGTGTTGAAAAATGATTGGGCACAATATGTCTGAGATTCTCTTACTCTGGAAACATGCCAGCACAGACTTATGTGTCAAAGAAATCTACTTGCAGCCATCATGCCATTAATAATTCAGCATTGGACACCATGCAGCAATTATGAAAGTTTGATGTCCTTATAAGCAAATGAAAAAGGACATTTAGAATAGAGACATACAGCAACCTTAACCATATGTGTTGATGTACACCCTAGCTAAAATGCTCATTCAGAAAGGGACAGTAGGGAGATGGCAATTTATGTTGATCTGCAGAGATAAACAGGCACATGTCAAGTTTTTATGAATATGAATATGCAATTTTTGTGCTCACACTTTTTTTCCAGATCCCATCCTTTCAGTTTTGTATTTACATGACATATGCCACTAGTCAAGTGTTTGGGGAATTCCACCATCTGTTTTGCTCTTTCCATCACAAGAATGATACCCATACCAAAATCTGTACTGGCCCTCTCATAATAAAGAAGATGTCTTTTTGTGTGTGTGTTGTCTTATGTGAAACAAGGCCAAAAGCCAGACTTGCCAAATATCTGACAGTTCCTGGGAAGGCCTTGCTGTTTGGCCAGTGCTCCCACATAGTGAGCATGACATTCATGGCTTCTGAGATAACTGTCAGGAGGGGATTTTTAACATTTTGTCTGCTTCTAAACTTTTGAGCAGCCAGCTTTTGAGCATCCTTACTCATTGCTCTCTCTCTCTCTCGCTCTCTCTGTGCGTTGCATTACAGAGAGGGAGCAGAGAAGCCAACAAAGGGTGTGAGCAACCAGGAGGTAACTTCCTGGACTATCTGCTTCAGATGGCAGCATCAGAACTATTCCCTCTAGCCTCCTGGTTTAATGGGGAGAGAGTAGAGAAAGGACTGCAGGATGTGAGATGGAAAAGACGACCGTGGGAACCAGAGTGGTGGAAGAGAGACCTTAGGAGCAATAGAGGAAGTGATGAAGAGAGAGGCAATGGAATATAAGGGACAGCAAATAGAGGACAGAGTGACAAGAACAGAGGAACAAGGGTAAAGAGACAATGTAGCACTGGAAAGAGCAATGGGGAAGATACTTAGCAGAACAGAGCCAGATATAAAGGTCAAAGAAGAATGAGAGGAAAGGAGATGCATTGCCACTGTTAGCTTCAAGTGGTAGCAATCAGACTCTGGTATCTGTCATCCAGTAGTCGTCAACATCATGCAAATTAGAGAGACCTGCTTCACACAGACAGACAAAAGGGGGTATCTTGGCACTATTAAAGTCAATGGGTGTTTTGCCCTTGACTTCAACAGAGGTAGGATTTCACCCTAAGAATTTAAACCAAGATTTTCAAAAAGAGCTAATGATTTTGGATGCCCAACTTTAGCTACCTTAAGAAATTCTGAGTGTCTGAAAATCAGTCCCCTTAGTCTCAAAATTCACACCCAAAAGCAAGGCCTCTAAAATCGCTATTCACTTTTGAAAATTTTGGCCTTAAGCTTTATGCAGTAGATAATGACAGTTCTGGCTACAACCAGAAGTTAAAAGAGAAGTGCCCCTCTTGCTGTAATAGGCCACTCACATTTATAGAACTAAACAATTCAATACCTGGATAGGGTAATACAAATCTCTCAGGTGAGTGGCTAATTTGACATCTCAAATATATGCCAGTGTTGCGCTTTCTAAGAATGTTAAATAGGTTACTTCTCAGATAGTAAATAGGTTCTGGCTCAGATCCAGTGGTCCAGACAACAGGGCCATGCTGAGGGCCTCACTGCTGGAGTTCAGGTTTGCCATTGGCTGGGTGAACAGCAGTGTTAAGTTTTGATTTGGGTCTCAGTTCACTCCTTCTCAATGCCCACAATGGCACCAAGCCTTGGTGCTTTTCCCACAATCTCTCTTTGATGCAACTCCCCCCACTTCAGACACCAGACTTTCATCACCTCCTCTCACACTCTGACTCCCATCTTAGACCTCACTGGCATTGCTAATCCTGTCATGAGGAGCTTTCCTCTGCCAGTGCGTCTGAATTTCTCTGCTGACCCTAATATTATTCCAGTCACATCTCATATGCAAACAGTCAATTTCTGTAGTGTCCACATGGAAGCCCCAGACTTGATAAGAATGAGGTAGACTGGCATTAGTGGCCAGCCCTGAGACACAGAGACCTTGT